TGTGTCCCTATCCTTCCAAGTTCTTACGGAGCCGTCTAGCCGGACAGCATACAGGCGACTGTTAACGGGGACCCATTCTAATAGTGCTTGTTCTGCCCTCGTACTAAGTGCTATGCCTACACCTGCAAGTCCACCAGAACTAGCCATCGGGTAGCTAGATAAACGGAGAGTGTATCTCGTTGGCTCTTCGTTTTGGCGAGGTGAGGTCAAGTGAATGACTACACTAGGATCCTGTATGCGTTTTTCGGAGAAACAGCATATATCAATAGTACACGATTCTAGGATTTTAGCCAAGGAGATCGATTGACCGATTTGAAATAGGATACGTAGGTTGAAGGCTCTAATATGTAGCTTGGGGCGAGGTTTTAGAAGACCTGGGAGTGTTTTGCGCACTAGAATCGTTGGCCATGGTGATACTTGAGAAGGAAGCCGAAAGAGGAAGTTTAGTGTTGAAAGCTGATGTAGGAGGAATAATAGAAACTGAAGCAGATTGATTATGATCTTGAGTGGTGTTAGAGGTATGAGGGCAGTTATCATTTCCCAGTTGCCCACACCATGGAAAGGTTCTTCTAGAGGTACCTGAAAAGGAAATTGGGTTAGAAGTGGTCTTAGTGACCTGAGAGCGTGACCGCAGTGCTCAAGGGACAACTGCTTGAGGTCGCTCACACGCGATCTTTTTGTGTTAGCTCCGTACTTGTTGGGACCTTACCGCCGGAGACGGATATCCGTGGGATAAGGCGAGATGTGCATTTGTAGGGTCAACCTTTTCTAACCCCACCCCTTCTTGTGGGAAGGCAGCATCGCTGTTATGCTGGTTGTCTGAAGGAAACACCTTACTGCCGTCACACCTCTGTACAGTCAGCAGTACGACTTCGCCTTCGGACCTTGGGTTCGCTGCTTTTAGTCTTACCGCTCTTCCACCGACCTGTCTGCAAGGTAGGACATTGAGGAACGATTGTTCCAGCCAGTATAGCTCTATTGGTTCATCGCGATAGGCAAGTCTGACCACCACGTCAAGGTAGCAACAACGGTCGGGTTGATGGTATCCGGTCAACGAACATTAAGTATTTTGCGTGGACAACTGTTTATGAATACTTGTACCTTTCTGACGATGGTTGTGATAGTTCCCCAAGTTTCAGTTTCGCACATTAGAACTGTCTAGACGTTCGTATTGCTTTGCCAATCCTTTTCTTCACGTCTGCATTAGATCCTCTTGTTTATCAGTGGTGATACCCAGGTACGTAAAAGCTTCTACCTCTTCCAGAGCTTCCCCATCAAGATGGTGTTTCTTGTGTTGTATTTGAGGATCTTGACTCTTTCGCTTGTGTTTGTTGAGGCCTACTGTTTCAGAAGGTTTGCTACACCGGTGTGTACGGGATAGGAAAGCTAGATCATTTGTGAAGTTTAAATTGTGTGGCTGCATGCAAACTGTCCATTGTATTCCGTCCCTACCGTTTTTGATACCTTGACGTGGTGGTCAGACTCGCCTGTCGCGATGAACCAATAGAGCTATACTGGCTGGAACAATCGTTCCTCAATGTCCTACCTTGCAGACAGGTCGGTGGAAGAGCGGTAAGACTAAAAGCAGCGAACCCAAGGTCCGAAGGCGAAGTCGTACTGCTGACTGTACAGAGGTGTGACGGCAGTAAGGTGTTTCCTTCAGACAACCAGCATAACAGCGATGCTGCCTTCCCACAAGAAGGGGTGGGGTTAGAAAAGGTTGACCCTACAAATGCACATCTCGCCTTATCCCACGGATATCCGTCTCCGGCGGTAAGGTCCCAACAAGTACGGAGCTAACACAAAAAGATCGCGTGTGAGCGACCTCAAGCAGTTGTCCCTTGAGCACTGCGGTCACGCTCTCAGGTCACTAAGACCACTTCTAACCCAATTTCCTTTTCAGGTACCTCTAGAAGAACCTTTCCATGGTGTGGGCAACTGGGAAATGATAACTGCCCTCATACCTCTAACACCACTCAAGATCATTGTATTTCGGATACCATCAGCAATAGTCTACTGTGGGAGAGGACAACTCAGCTTCCACCTGAAGAGGAAGTTATGAAAAGATGCTGGAGGTGGATAGGACATACATTACGATAATCACCAAACTGTATCACGAGGCAAGTGTTAACTTGAAATGCTGAAGGGAAACGGAAAAGGGGAAGACCAAAGGACAAACTGAGTAGGGAATCAGAAGCAGACATAAAAAGAGTGAATGGCAACTGGAAAGGATTGCCCAGGACAGAGTTGGAAGGAGAATACTGGTGGGAGGCCTATGTTCCTTCACGAGGGGTAACAAGAGTAAGTAACAAATAACAGCCGTTAACAGAAACTTGTTCTCGGTAAGTCTTACTAATTAATTGACTAATGAAGTTTCGCAGAGCAGTTAATGAAGTTATAAACCTCTATTAGCTGAATTGAATGATTAATGTACTACGTATACATAACTGCTGTGCGCTCAAACATGTCCCCATAGAACTAGAATGGAAGACGTCATATGGTTGCAAAACAAAGAAATGAAACCCATGAAGTCTAACTGTTGGTTTGAGCCATTTACGGAGCTATATGTTTACTACATAGGGATTCGATGTATAGCTGAAACCCGTGAAACGTAAGTGAAATGACAACCTACCAAACGCTGCAATGTAGATAAGTTGGTTTTCCGTTTTGTCATACGAGTTATTAGATTTAAACTTATTTATATTGTGATTTCCTTCTGGTTCATTACTACCAATGGTCCTACTATGAACCATAGTTATATTTTTCCCTCTTTATCTCTTAATATTATGTTATAATGTGAGACCACTTGGACTAATGCACTAATGTGTGGTGACAAACGTCTTTAGTCTTTCGGCTAGAACATGGCGAAATATGACATACAGTTTATTTTACTACCTTACTAACAGTCTAACTATGAAATTAAACTTGCTCAATGAATGTCAAACAACACTCCGAAAACATCATGTTCGTTGAAGCTTCATATAACAGATGTATACAAAAGTACTTTTGATCTGTATGTCTTTTTAGTTGATCAACATCAAAATATTTCAGCGTCACAGCGATTGATGGATGCCGACTTCTTGAAACTAGAAGTTTCACTTGGAAAAAGATCAGCAGAATAGATGTGGTTGGCAAAGTAATCGGTGCAAGAAGTATTAACACATCTAACTTATATTGTTATACTAAACAACAACGTAAAACAGTTTAAACCACGTTTGTGTCTGACAATCATGTGTAAAACCTTGGTGATACGCCCCATAGTATTTAGAAGACGTCTCATTGTCACTTTTCGTCTAACAGAGAAATCCAATAAGAAAACATTAAAATGGTTTGTGCTTTACACGACATGAATAAGGAAATATATGTCTCGAAATAAAAGTATATGACAAGCTCAAACGAAATTATTGAGAAAGGACAACCAACCCAAACAACTGTTGTCACTAACTTATGGAACATGGATTTATGATCGCCTAGCTTGGAAGTAAAAGGATTTCAGTAGAGTTATACACCAAATGAGCAAATCCTTTGGAAATAATGTGAATAAAAATGTACCAAATAAATAAAATTATTCTGAGTTAATTTGTTTTAATCTGGTGAACAGAGTACACTTGATCAACACACTCTTAAACAAGACTTAAACTTTTCTTGTCACAAACTGGAGCAAAATGACCACTGGTTTCTATTTCGAGTCATATTTTACATTTCACGACACTAATCATTTTGAGACTATTCACAGAATTGTCATAGGATAACAAATGCGATTGCAACGACCATCCTATACTTAACGGCGTTGTCAAAGCTGTTTAGATGAGCGTAAAACGCGCCTAAGACACCGAACCTACCATATCAAGGAAAAGGAACCGATAGAATCATTGTCTTTTATATCCCGAAGGGGTTGTTACACATGGGCATTATTGGCAAGGTGTTGACATCAAATGTGAACACTTTTTCGAAAATAACGATGATTCCACATAAAGTTAAAAAAGAACTATGAAGGCTGGGTCTCATGAGTTTTAAGAAAAACTTTCGTACAGTAGCGATGTATACCCGAATTCTCGTGAAAACACTAAAACTAAGAAAACCCCAAAACTTATTAATATTAACATCTGACAAAAAGTTAGCACGATAATGGACTCCTACTCTTTTTATAGACTTACTTTGGACTTCAATGATGCAAAGTGCTTGCTATACAGGGCGAAATTACGATACGATAATGACATAACATCCATTCATCATTTAAATATTGTTCCAGTATTCATCATTAACATACTGAGAGTAGAAATGGATAGGTTACACAATATTTTAGGGTACGCACAAAAATATTGGCAACATATACCTGATGATTTTTAAGTATCAAGTATATAACTTTCCATACGCTTAGTACCTTTGAAACTTGATGGAACTACATGGTTTACAATTTGGCGCAAATTAACAAACTGTACTTTTGGATTTTCTTTGGTTTCGCTTATGGGTGATGTGGTTATATCTAGTTTAAATAAGTGTCGATCATGAGGCTTCACTAAGAATGGAATAGTACTCAATACTATATCTTGTTAGCATCTCTTAAATGTACTTCAGGAATCATCAAAAAAGACAGTCCGTAACAATTCGTTTTACGATTTATGCCAGTAACTTTTCATTCCACTAAATGGTAAATCTTAATAGTGAACAATGAAATTGCAACCAATTGTTTACAACCGACCACAAAAGATGAAGTAGCTTTCTGTTGTATAGAAAGTGTAGTGGAATTGTGTAAGAATATAATTCATTAGTAAAGCAGAAAGGAAACGCCCTATTTCTATCAAACCTTTATTTTATTCTATATCTTGCCAGCTTTTGATAGACATTCTGTTCTCTTTCCTAGGTGCTGTCAGCACAACTATACAGAAGTGAATCGATTTTCTAACCAGAATAAATAATTATATAAATAGCACTACAAATTAATTGGTTATACCCGGAAATATAGTACGAATGATATGCAATTTAAAGACAGTACTCACCTGATTGTAAACTAAAGGTACATTCACCCAGTCATACATACACAATTTATACAACTTTTCCCAAAACTCTACCACCTGACCGACTAATGCATCCACGTGTCTTTCTTCGCGTATCATATTTTCTTCGTGAGCTTTCGTAATCAGAGAAATGGCCCATACCAATGGAACGAAAAAATTGCTTGTTGATTCTTCCAAATTAGAATAAATTTCTAGTTCCTGTTCAGTCATTAGGCCACATATGACCAAACTATCAAGAGTTGGGAATCGTTGTTTCATACCAATAGATATTGAGCAAAAGCATAAAGCAGAAGCCAAGTTGATGTAACGGCTAATGGTCCTTCTGAAAACCAACGCTCTTTCCTCACCATTTTCTAGTTCTTTGTGATCTTTGGGATTAGTATTTTCACCTAAATAGGCTGATAAAAGTAGGCATATCGCATCAGGAGTTGGTAAGCAAAGGAACTGCTGCAGCCATCGACTAACTACCAAGTTCACATAAAATGCCAAAACGAAGGATAATGGGACAGCATCTGTTACACGTCCAGCGATGTAGCATATTTGTACAAAAAGTAACCTGGCATTTCGATATTCCGGTTTATCTGGTATAGAGTGATAAGCGATCGCTACAGCGGCGTAAAAGAAGCAGTAAACTAGTAAACCGGGCCATACTAATTTATAAAGACTTCCACGCCATCGAAAAAGTAGACGGAAAAATGATCCATACTTGACGGTTGCTATGAGACCGCCGTAGCTGACAGTCATTGTTTGTGCTAAGGCATGATACTAATACGCAATACAAATGTGGAATCAATTTTGACCTTGAAGTTGAAATTAAAACTAGTGCGGAGTTTTGATTGGATGGTTTTTTAAAGTAAACAAATGGGAGTTGCTTTCTTCTCTGATTGGCCCGTAGAAAAAGTTGTACACATTTCCGCATTATTGCGTTGTTAGTGTCTTAAGTCAATTGTTTGCAAATGAAATGGTTTAATTTTCTTCTTGGATTACTTTTGATATCTTTTGATATCTCTGACTGTTTTTCTGTGAATAATCTAAGCTGCTATGAGTGTGAGATAGTAGACAGAGAACGTAAAATGTCTCTTTGGCCCTGTGATGAATCAAATGGACCGTGGCAGAAACTGGATGGCTGCAAGGCTTGCATCAAAATTGAGGAAGTCCAGAGAATCGACTTCCGAAAACCTAGATGGGGACAACAATACCATGAAATAACAACCGTTTCCAGATTATGTCTCAGAAAGTTCGAACCATCATTTTCAGATACATGCTTTCAGACGTATGGAAGTTCGTCAACACAAAAGCGTTGTTACTGTTCCACGGATTACTGTAATGATGATTCAAAAACTTTATCAGTAAGCTTCAAAGCATTGTCTGCTATATGTAGTCTTTCTCTCTTAATTTTATATATTCTTTGATCATATCTCGTTACATGCACCGACCCGTTTTTCTACCAGTGTAGTGTAATGTGTATGAGCTGATTTTCTAGTAAATTGTATTTGATGTGTATAAAAGCCGATTATACGATCTCAAATCACAAAGCAAGTGTACAAATATTCTCATGCAACATATTATATACATTCCTCCCTAACGATTATCACACTACACATTGGATATATTGTAAATGTCTTTTATTACCGATGTTAGTTGTGTTAAGTACATGAAATTACGTTTTTATACTTGCATAATATTTCAATCAAAATATGAGTAAACGGAAAGCAGCGAAAATCTTATTTATGTAGTTTTAAAATTTTCACTTATCCTATAATAGTTCTTCCCTTTTAAAGAAAAGAACACTTGTTTTTCGAATTATTTTAGCCATCGGTATCACATTTCCATAATAACTGATGTCAAACTATCTAAAAATATAACGTCACTCATCTATATTGTCTACGAAATATGGGTTTTTCTAATGGATTAAAAATGTTAGTTTCTAATGAAATCAAATAATCGAATCATTGTTATCGAAGTGTTAGCTGGTTTGTTTTTCGTAGGAAAAATGCTTATTGACGGCTTAATTAATGACGTTTGCACATATTATCACTAATAGTTACTGATTATATTGGTTTTCATTTACGACACGTTAGGTTAAATTAACCATAGGTTGGCAAGCAAAAATTGTCTCTGAAAAAAACCCACATCTATTTATTCACATTGAACAAGTTCAGCTAAAACAAATGTTTAATTCTTTTAGGTTTAAAAATATGTTATTTTAATCAGAGATAACTTCATTTAAATCATTTACCACTTGATAAATAAGCGTTCCTATCTAGCCCATTAAATTTAGTCACAAAACTATCTCATATATAGTTATTACCATGGGCATAAATTGATTTCTAGGCAACTTGTACAAATTTCTAGATCTCATTCCTGAAGTTATACAAGAAATTTCTAACTTGTGGAGTTAGAAAAGTGAAGGTTGAAGCTGAATTTAGATTTAAATCAACTAAATGTATCTTGCTCACTGTGGGTCTTGGAGGTCCTGGATTCCTTCCAGTGGTGGTACTGAACATTTTCAGGAAAACCTTCTATAAACTATGGTTTTGTCGAAGCATATCTTGTACTACATTTTTTTAAGTTTAGGCTAGACAAAGTGGTCAATTGTATTAAAAGTGGTTAAAAACCGAGTTCAATTTGTGCGTTTACTTAATTTTGAAACTCATAATTCTCATAGGATTATATCTCACTCAAAGTTACTGTATTTATTTAGGTGGTCAAATTAGTATCTTAAAGATCCCAGAGAAGTATTTTAATAGTTCACCGAGTTATAACGGCCCATTTTTCGACGAATGACTTTGGCCGTTGATAAACTTTGATGTTTAGAATCTCTGATTCGCAGCAGTGAGTTGTTCTTTCCAGTGTTAACATACAGGCTTATTATACATATACTGTTGTGTACTCCGTTGAGATGTTTTATAAAGTTTGCTTGCCACTATTCGTGAGCGATTTCTCGTCCATATCTAAGATCTCGATTTAATATTCTACAGTACATATTATGTTTATCAAACGTTTAATCTATATCTATGTACTGATTTACAACGACATAATTGGATTTGCCTGTTGTATTATTTTTACATTCTTTCATTTTCTTCTTGAATAGACTTAAATAAGCATTCGCCTTTTTAGCCTCTGGTTTGTAATCTTTGATAACTGGTACTTTTCATTCGTGATAATTGCTTCGATAGAGTTTGTTAGTCTAAAAAATGGTATTCATGATTTGTGGGACAAGAATAAGGCCTGCCAGTCAGATCTTAATTTTCTGGAGGGTGTGTGATCTACAAAATCCATGTCTTGCAATCGATTGTAGTCTGAGCTACCGTTCTCCATATTTATGCCTACGTTGTTATTCTGAATGAGTGTATTCTAACATAAAGAGTAAGCCATTCCGATGGCCAGCTATGATGTCAGTCTACTTGAATGTTAGTATTGATAACTCGGTCTGAGGAGCAGCTATTGGTCATTAATAATGTGTCGCTGTGTGTTATCCGTCGGTCATTATTCGAATCATTGTATAACAACTACAAAATATCCTCTAAATTAGTTAAAAATTTTCATTGTAACTTGATATAAACTATCTACCAATAGATTTCAATAAAATAGCGCCGTTTTTAGGATTTATTGAATGAAATCCGAGTTGCGTAATAGTTTATAATTTAATGTACGGCAGTATTCTATTCATCATGTGATAAATTAATAGACCAAGTATTAATCAGCATTGATATGTATATTATTCAGATTTTAAGTAGCTCTTTACGGATCGATAATAATTGATTGACTCGTATTAGAAACTAGAAAATGTTATCACTTAAGAACTCTTCAGTACACAGAAACATTTAGATGTCATGTTACTGTTAAGCCAAAATATTTTAAGTTTCTTGGTCATTTGGCTTCTACTGATTTATGAGAATTATTTTCGTCCTGACGACACTTATGGACCACTCATCCTCCAACTGTAAATGTTGCACTAAATTTTCCTGTCTTAGATTTGCATAGTATAACCACTAGAGATACATATTTTTATCAAAATCTTACGATCTATAATGAAGTGGGAAACTGCCGAATCTAAATGACACTATCACAGTGGCTGATAGGATTTCCTCCTTGTGTGATACTTTGGATAAACGACAGATAATTATATTAGAAACTCATGTTAGTTTACACAACAGAGAATAAAACATGATAGGAGATAGACTGGTCATAAACTTGAGTGACAAATGACCATTTCTGAGAAACCCTTTTTAGAATAATCACAAATCAGATGTATTTAAGAGAGGGGTTTGTTGTGATATTACATATTTTAAGCTGAGAAATATTTACTGTAACCGGTTGTTTGGCACTGAATAAGACGGTTGTTATTATTCGCGACGAATGAACTTCACTAACCATGTGTTCTCACTGTGGCTTCGAGAGTTCACAAAATCAATTAATAGTTAATTCTGAGAAACCTCGTTCTACGACGAAACAGTTGTTCGATGCCACTTGGTTTTCCTGTTGAATGCAGTCTAGGGTTTAAACTGTCCCTGAACTGAACGATTTCTGAAAATTTTCTACCCTAATGATAATCATGTGGTCACCAGTTGAATTCGCTAGAAGGTTTTGTAACTTTGGCCGGTGGGGTTCATCCAGGTTGGCAACGAGTTTAGTGCTATTTTCATTCAAATAGTAAACTAAAATCACGTGTAATTAGTTAAACAAATACATCCAGATTTTTTCACAAGAACAAAGTATCCAGAGATTTTTTGTGAATATCAACAGAATCTACTACTTTACGTGATTCAGGTTAGAACATGCTATTCTGATCTTTGCCACAAGAAAATTGATCTCATCCGCAACATTTTATACCATTACTAAAATAATAAGAGATACAAAGTAGTATATTGTCCTCGGATATTTTTGAACATATACCATACTCTTGTGCACTAAACATTTATTCACCAAGTTCGGTACAAATAAGTGATAGATCATGACTGGACTACTGAAGGTCAGTGATTGTTTTTCCGATTTTTCAATTTGCGCTACTTTTATGCTCTTCTCGTAGAGCTTTCTTCACATTTTACTTCTGTTTGAGATATTTTGGTGAATATCTGGTGTGAATAAGGAACGAAAGAAGCCGTAATTAACAATGGAAACTGTTTTTGCAAACACTATTTCACTTAATTCAAAGTTCGTAAAATACTAACTTTTATTTTTGCTTTTAGTTTGTTGTATAGCTCACAGGCTTTTGTTTGATATATGGCTCACTGTCATGCCTTTTTTATCCCAAAGTTATTTTACTTTGAAGATAACCTTTTGTAATCTATTTTTCTATCCTAATACTTAGTTTTGGCGGTTTTACTTTTTTAACTGTTTGTACATTACGGTCGTGTTAATAATCCGCTTATTCATACCATTTTTACGTTAATCTGAATCAGGGGTAAATTGAGTAGTATCCAGGTCGACTCGTCTTCTCTGCCTTTCTTACCTGTCAACCAGTCAAGCTGTAAAATAGTTTTCCTCTTTCTGCTCTCAATACCGTTTGAGTCTCACGCATTGCTAACCCCAAGGTCTAGCCAGTTAGCTGATCATGTCAACGCCTTAATCTAGATCAAGACAAGTTCTCTCCTGTATATTATTAGGCAGATAGATCAAGGACGTAACAATATATTGAGTGCACTGCTCATTATTAGATATCTTCAACACATAATCTCGCCAGCAGCACGTAAGAATAACTTTTAATGTCATTGTTGAATATTGACTTTTAGTATTTATACAGGTGTGCGGGTATCTCAGTGCAATTAAAGACTCCAGATTTGACATAGTTTTGGCTTAGTATATATTTATTTACCTCACCTTTGTAGTGCAAGAACAGTTAGGACGATAAGCAAATTATGATATATTCTGTATTTATAAAGATTCTTTATTTATAAAGATGGTAAAAGAACGCGTAAATATGACTTAAAAAAAATAATAATCCAAATAATTGTAACTGATGGCAGATATCTTCTTGGATCAGTTTTAATACCCCTTCTGAATTTAAACATCAGTAGAGTAGCTTCACCGAAACTTTATGACAATATACTTATCATGTTTATCTGTTATGTATTTACTGACTAACTAAAAGAATTTACGACAACTATGACCATTATGTATGAGCTAATTTCATCATCAAAATGTGTCAACTTGTGGTATCATTTAAATATAAACCCAAGATCTATTCGTAGCGAAATCCGTTAAAACAGATTATTTGTGAAAAGAAACAATCAACAGTTTCCTCAGTATTCCTTCTGTAAGTAGCTCAGTTGTATTTCAGCCAAAATAATTAACCAGTGTAAAGATAAACCATGAACATTAGAAACTCAATAAACAATGAAACTTTCATAAATGTCACAGATTATTCAGATAAATACGATTATTAAAGGTATTCAAATTGACTTTTAAACTAAGAACTCTTGAAATAATGCAATTTAGGGCAAGTGGAAATGGCTGAGCACAAATGGACGTATTATACTTCGGATTCGTAATAATCACTCAGTTTAGTGCAAAGGAACCACTATTTAATATAAATATCACGACCGCCATAGCCTAAATAAAAATCCGGATTCATGTAATCAATTGTGCATCTCCTTAGGTTCAT